TGTGACAATGAGACTGTCACAGGTCGGCTCAGTAGATCAGTAGGGAGATGAGCAAACACATACCGGGTTCGCTCGCCTCTCGATCCTGTCACGGCTCTCTGCCGTGACAGGGGGACTCCTTTAATAAAAAAAAACAAAAATCCAAATCGTACAAACAGCGCTCTTGTAGTGGTATTGAGGGGGTAAAAAATGTGACCCTAATTAGTGTGCAGCCCTGAAACCCAGGAGGAGTGCCTGTGGATATGCAAAACAGAAAAACCAAAAAGGGCGCAACACTAGGTAGGTTGACTGGCCGGGTCGAACGACCCAAGGAAGGTGACAGGGAAAATCTTGTGACAATGGATGCAAAGGGCGAAAAACGAATTAATAGCTGAGGAAACAAAAAACATTTATTTACTTACATTTTAAATCATGGGACCAGAGGATGGACGACCGGTGTAAAGGATCGGGTCATTCGTGGTGTCTATCTGAAGCTGGTGTGCCGGAAGATGTGCATCCGCACGGGGAGAAGAGACTGTGGACAAGGGGGAAAAGGGGGAGGAGAGGAACAAGAAGAATGGGGACTCAGTCTGTGGTCCGCTAAGTGGGTCCAGGGGCTAAGTGGTGTGGGGGAGAATCAGCGGTATCAGAAGCAGGCTGAATGGCTGTGGATCGTGAGGGGCAACTTGGAGCCCTAGGGGCAACTTGGAGCAACTTCATCTCCAAGTTGCCCCTAACTGTCCGACCTGGCTAGTGGAGTACAAGCCTTTACCGAACGCTTTTTACACATGCCGAGGCTCCACAGCTTCTAGCGTGCAGATTCCCCGCCCACTGTCACCAAGCTCCGCCCAGCTGTCACATTTAAATCGGCGGTTTCCCGCCGCCGCGATATGTTCCTTCTCGAGCTTGAAAAAGAGGTATCACTCCTCGAAACGCATTGCTCACTGCCCTTCCATCCCACTACCACCCTCTTCCCATCACAGACCCGACTGACAGCCGACAATTTTTCAACCAACGGCTCCCGCACACTGCCCCAATCTGCACTGACAGTAACCGAGCATCACGATCCACAGCCGCGGGCCACAGCCATTCAGCCTGCTTCTGATACCGCTGATTCTCCCCCACACCACTTAGCCCCTGGACCCACTTAGCGGACCACGGACTGAGTCCCTATTCTTCTGGTTCCTCTCCCCCCCCCCTTTTCCCCCTTGTCCACAGTCTCCTCTCCCCGTGCGGATGCACATCTTCCGGCACACCAGCTTCAGATAGACACCACGAATGACCCGATCCTTTACACCGGCCGTCCATCCTCTGGTCCCATGATTTTAAATGTAAGTAAATAAATGTTTTTGGTTTCCTCAGCTATTAATTCGTTTTTCGCCCTTTGCATCCATTGTCACAAGATTTTCCCTGTCAACTTCCTTGGGTCGTTCGACCCGGCCAGTCAGCCTACCGAGTTTTGCGCCCTTTTTGGTTTTTCTAGTTCTCCTTTAATAAAGGACAAGACCCTGCTAGCTTTGTTTACCGCAGCTACCATAAGGTCTCCACATCTTGAATAGGTTATACCCCTCTATATTAGTAGCACAATCATGTGTGCCGTCTAGCCAGGTCTCCTATATACCCACTATATCGAAGTCCTCTTTGTGTATCATAATTTCAAGTTCTTCTAATTTATTTACTAGACTTCTAGCGTTGGTGTACATACATTTTAATTCCTGTATTTTTATGTGACAAAAGTTTATATCCTACTTGTTTTATTGTTTGGCCTTGATGTTGGTTGTTCGTTTCTTATTTTATTCACTTCTGACAACTTATTTGCTACATTGACTGTTTCTGCTATTTTAACCTCGGTGATTACTTTAGCTGTGTTGACTGGAGTGAGCCCACTATCTATTCCTCTATTACTTAAGTTTACTAGGGAATTAAGTTTGTGTGACCCTTATTGATCAACTTCCGCATTGGAACAAACTGCCCACTGAAATTGTGGGCACTAATGAAAACTGCCTTATTGAATACAGAATCTCCATTGGATTTATTACTTTCCTACAAATTTTCTACTCCTAAAGATGTACCTCCATACCCATCTCTCATAGCTTCACTAGAGGTTTGGAAGTCTCTTCCTCTAACCTCCCACTCATCTCCCTGCAAGGATTTCCCCCTCCCCGATCCTCCCGCGCTGACTGGAGAAACGGACGGGGGAAGGGGCGGGCACAGCTGGCTCTGCCTCCTAGATAGGAAGAACCAGCTGTCACGCAGTTGGGTGGATCTCAACAGCATTGTCGGGGTCCGTCCCGGTTGTGGCGCGCTGAGTATATAATGAGCAATAGCTCGCTGTATACTGAGCTTTGGGTCACGGGAAGACGCTAGTATATGTCCTCCCATGACCCTTAAGAGAACTATGGGATACAAAGGTTACCCCATAGTTCTATTCAATTTCCAGAAAAATGATCAGCTCAATACCATCTTTCTGCGAATGAATACTACAGTTACTATCAAATTACTCCTCTCCTTAGTAACACCCCTTCCTGACTACTGTAACTATAGACTTCTTCATCAATTCTTTTTTACACGTCACCTTCCAGAAAACAGCCATGCTTTACTCCCATTTAGGTAACATTGACCACTTTTCCAAATCATCCTAGATGTTCAAATGGGAACAGGACTTTGGCATCACCATCTCAGATTACCAATGGAAAAAAAGTGTTCCCAATTTCCTATTGTACCTTCTTTTGTGCTAATCACTGGTAAAACCTCTATAAAATAGTTAATGGTATTATACTCATAAGTTATCTTAAGTTTTCGAAACAAAACTCACCACAGTGTTGGAGGTTATGTGGGGACATAGGGTCTCTACCACATGCATTTTTAACGTTCTCTGCTCCCCACTCTCCATTCTGAACAGAGGATCTCCATCTCCGGAGAGAGGGGGCGGGGGGTTACGGAGGGCCGAAGGGGGGACAGACCTGCAGGCTGCATACAAGTGATCTCGGCGACATCGCCAAGATCACTTTTACAAAACGAGCTGTGGCTTCCATGCTGTACATTTTAGCCCTGCTTGCCCAAAGCAGGGCTACATGTAGAAAATTACCTGCTCGGCACCTGGAACTGTGGAACTGCATGTCCCGGCTGTCGAGATATTAATTCCACACCCCTGCTGCCCCTCTACTCAGATTCTTTCTATTTTTCAATAATTAATTTGTGCTCCATGGAATGTTCAAAGTTTTGAATTTATTTTTATAACCCAACCCTGATCTGTACTTCTCCACAATATGTCACTTACCTGTTTGGAGAGCTCCTTGTTTTTCATGGTGCCGCTTGCTTGGTGGTGCCCCTTGCTCATTGGTGTTGCAGACTCTGGGGCCTTTCAGAACAGGTGTATATATTCTGAAATCATGTGACACCTAGATTGCACACAGGTGGTCTTTATTTAGCCAATTATGCAAAGAGAAAAAAAGGCGACGAGTGCCGCTATCTAGTGCATTACTGCTGGGATGAGGGAAGGAATTATGAAAGTGATTAAATTGTAGTTACAAGACTAAGTTGAACTTAAAAGACAATATTATGATAGGTGGCAATAAGGCACATAGTCTTGATGGTGAGAGCTGAAACATAGTAACTTTTTCCACCAACACACGGAAACAATCAGGGACCTTGATTGTGAAGTGCAGCTAAGAAAGGAAATAAAAATGGGATTGTGCGTACCTTAGACACCTTTTTATTAGGAAAAAATATGTTACACTTAGAACAGTGTACTTGTGTGGGAGCCTGTCAGTTGAGAACCGTGCCTCGTGAGAACCTACTGCGATCCACTTCTGATCGTACTGAAGCTGTGTAGAGGATGGACCTGACCCTGGATGGTGTGGCTATAGAGGCTATTAGGTGGATGACTCTGCTCCCAATGCTGGTTTGGTGTCACCGGCTGAACTCCATTTTAGAATGACAGGTGGAGATAAAGAGTGGGGGGTCGAATGGCGTTTTGAGAAATATACCTCTTTTTCAAGCCCATTAGAGAGTCTGGTAAACTACCAACTAGGCAACCAACTTTCTTGACTTTTTTGTTTTAGTTGCTCTACGAGTTATGGTAATGTAAACATTGTACTCTGCAGCCTGCTTCAAACATAAGCTAGGGAAGTACTGCAGCAGCTGACCTTACTATCTAGAAACCAATAGGCACACTCATGACAGAAATGGCCCCTGAAATTAGGATGTGTACTACATAACTGTGTAGCAAGTCTGGAGCTGTGATAATGGAGATGATAAAATAACAGCACTGTGGTTGTGTACGTGTTCTTTTGGTAAGCATATCAAAATACCTAAAAGTTATCTAATGTTGAAACTAAAGATGCGCCGATACCGGTTTTTCGGTATGGAATACTGATATTTTTTCGGTACTCGCAGATACCGGAAGTCCCATTAACCTCCTTGGCGGTATTCCTGAGTGTTGCTCGGGGTTAATTTTCAGTACCATAAGCGGTAACCCCGAGCCACACAGCGATTTACAGGGATTACAGCGTAGCATCTCTTACCTTGTCCACGATCCCCGCTGTGTCCTCCGGCCGATGCCGGCATCCGGGTTCCGTCCCTTGCGAGTATCAGCGTTGCAGGGGGGGTCGGAACCGGCAGGAATTTTACAAGTTGAAAAAAAAGGGAAAAAATTAAATAATCAGACCGCCAGGGAGGTTAAGGAAGCTGGGCGGCGTTTAATGAGCTTCCTGATTAGCCAGGAAGCCAGCTGTATGCTCCCTGGTGATGAGGGAACATGGAGCTGGCTTCCTGGCCAATCGGGAAGCCGGGCAGCATGTAATGACTTGCCGCCCGGCTCCCTGATACCGGAAGTTCCAGTATTGGGATAGTCATCGGGAGCAGTTAGGCGAGTACAAGTACTCCCCCAACTACTCAGTATCAGCACTGATACTAGTATCGGTGCATCCCCACCTTCTACTAGGGATTAAAGATTAGGGTTGTTGCACTTGCTTAAAATAAACTTTTTCTTGGTTTTTTATTTGTTGTTGCAGAAAGGCAGACTTGCAGATTAAGTGAAATGTTTTCAGAGTATGATTATGACCTTGATGAAGACAAACTGTAAGTACTTTAAATTTGATTGTATGCTTTATTTCTGTAAAATGTTCATTACATGGATGTTTGTTCATTTATTCAGTGAAGCTTTCTTGTACTGTGACAGACACAAGGGAATAAAGGGCTTCAGGGCCACTGTGCATTATGGGTTTACTATTTGATTTGAAAGTAATTTTTAACTGTTCTTATTGGTTCTCGTTTGGCCGGCATTCATGTTTATTGATGAAGGCGGATTGCCCCTTATTGTCTATAAATGTCTGTTCCGTTTGAAAATAAAGGGAGTTGTGTTTACCTGAAGACTAGTGTTGTTTAGTTCTTGGGGAAACGAGGATATATTCTGGCCGGGAAGGTACTTGGGAGGGAATCAGTATTTGGCGCAGATACCAGGCAGGGTATCGAGATAGTCAGTCCGTCACAGTCACTTTCCACAAATCATATTTTAAGACCTTGTTCGTTAAACATATAATATATCTGCAAACAACTTAAACTCTGAAACAATTTATCAGAATAACTCAAAACTTTGTCCATATGTCCAGGGTGACCTCTTCTACCATGGTTGTAAAAATAGACCCAGTTCCAAAAGGAATATGGCCGCTGCAAGCGGTATTTAGATAGTGTTATTTGTATGATGGCCTTTTTTTTACAAAAGCCTGTAATAAGTGCACTGTCACTTGTCAATACTGTATATAATAGTATTAATCAATATTAATTAAGTAAATAATATTAATAATTAAATTTTGAGCCCTGCAAGATGGGTTCCAAATGTCACCAAGGTTGGCGACCATTTTGAATTTAAAAAAAATTATAATTCATGAAATCATGTTCTGCTATTAATCTCTCTAACTACAATGTCTTCCCATGTGCTATAACCGGCTCTAATGCTTGGCCACCTTTATTGCTGCTTGCAGCTATATATTTTTTTTTTTTATGTTCTGGAAATCAGTATACGCTCATGCTCATAGTAATCCGCTGCACTTAAAAGCACAGTTCTCAGCTCTTTTGTATAATATGATGGAGTGCGCGTAGCGGTACCAAGTAAAACAGACACAAGCTGTTCTCACGTTGGATGCTCAGTAGAAAGTCCTGCCTAGTGCAGGGAGCTCCGTTTTTATTTATAGGGCACAAAGGGATAACGGAAGGAAAGGATGGCCACAACAGCCAATCAATTCCTCAATACATTTACATAACACAAAGTCAGCCAATGAGACATGTATACATTTGAATAGACAATAGAAAGGGGAGTATATGTTCGTGAACGTGCAGCACAAAGTGCACAGCCCCCCGCTGCTAGTTCATGTGAACTCCGTGCACACCAGTTAACAATGAAAAACGCGTGTAGCGGAGTTCGCACCAGAAGACTACACAAAGGAATCAGTGTGTTAACTGGGAACGTTGCTCCGATCGGAATCGTGCACATACTCCCGCCGTTACCACTGGCGCGAATTCTATTCAGCAAGATTCAGTGAACAATGCCTAATAGAACTACTATTCCTATGAATGTGAGTTTATCTGCAGGGAAAACACCATATTATTTCCAATGTGTTGATCAGGCACACAAAAAAGACATGAGTGTGTGTTCCTTCATAAAGGCCATAGAGCAGGTGTAGCCAAACTCCGGCCCTCCAGCTGTGGTGAAACTACAAATCCCATGATGCATCTCTCTCCGGGAGTCATGTCTGTGGCTGGGAGAACCTTGCAATGCCTCATGGGATTTGTAGTTCCACCACAGCTGGAGGGCCGGAGTTTGGCTACCCCTGCCATACAGCATAACCAGGTAAACCGGACGCTGAGAGACATGATGACAATATTCACATATACAATCTACTAAAAAAATGTGAGTTTATCTGCAGGGAAAACACCATATTATTTCCAATGTGTTGATCAGGCACACAAAAAAGACATGAGTGTGTGTTCCTTCATAAAGGCCATAGAGCAGGTGTAGCCAAACTCCGGCCCTCCAGCTGTGGTGAAACTACAAATCCCATGATGCATCTCTCTCCGGGAGTCATGTCTGTGGCTGGGAGAACCTTGCAATGCCTCATGGGATTTGTAGTTCCACCACAGCTGGAGGGCCGGAGTTTGGCTACCCCTGCCATACAGCATAACCAGGTAAACCGGACGCTGAGAGACATGATGACAATATTCACATATACAATCTACTAAAAACACATCCTAATAAGAACGTCCACAATAGTCCAAATAAAATTTCCACAACAAAGGGAAATGTCTATTCGAGACTAAAAAGAAGGATCAGACGAAAACAAATTATCCCTTATCACCGATTATACTGCTCAGTACAGAGACTTTGAGAAAAAATTATTAATAAACATGGGAACATCTTAAAAATGGACAGAATTTTAGGTCCGCTAATTCCAAATAAACCCCAGGTAATTTACAGGAGGGCCTCTACTCTTAGAGATCTACATAATGTGGTAGATCCGCCACCCAAGGTAAAAAAATTATTTTGGTAGCGTTGGATTCTATCCTTGTATAAATTGCATAGGATGTAGAGTGACCAAAAAAGAAAAGAGAAAGGTAGAAGGAGGACACAATTGAATTTATTCTAATGGGAGGCAGTTTGAAATAAAGGAGTTTGTTTACCATCAGACATCCTATGTGACTTATGTATTGGAATGCCCTTGTGGCTTCCAATATGTAGGTAGAACGACCAGAGAGCTGAAAATTTGAATTCGTGAATACATAAAAAATATTAAAAATTTATTTGATGATCATAGTGTTTTTGTCTAGACACTTTGATGGAGGTTTGTAATAAAGATCCTACACTATTGATTTTTGTTATGGGATATATAGGCTTTATAGCCACTAGAATGCCAATAGAATGAGGATGATATCCCAAAATTAAACGGACAATTGTATACTTACCTATCGGTAATTTTCCTTTCCTGACGCCAATACATGGCAGCATGCAATGGGTATGGCTCCGCCCCAGCCCAATCACAGGACCAGTTATACTATAAATTAAAGCCCGACTCCCAAGGCCACCATTCTCGTAACAAGTATTCAATGCGAAAGCCATGGGAGGGTCCTGTATGCTGCCATGTATTGGCGTCAGGAAAGGAACATTACCGATAGGTAGGTATACAATTTTCTGTTTTCCTGACACCAATACATGGCAGCATACAATGAGATCTAACTAGCACACAACAGGGAGTGTAATTCTGAGATATTCATTAATTTGTACCACTGGTAAACACATTCAGAAACCACTTCTCCATGGACAAGACTCCTGGACAGACCCTGTAATGGGACAGGGATATATACCAGGTTACCACCTTCCAGAATAACTCTGGAGGTACATCACTAAATTCTATCCGTAAGGAACTATCCTTCGGAAGAGCGAACCCAAAGATGTATCTGTGGCTCCATCTGCTTGATCAGGCATAATGCATATGACCTAGTGCACGCAGAGAGCTACTTTTCTAAAAGCACCAGAAAGATGAACAGATCAACCCGAAAAAAAAAGGTAACCTCCATGTTCTTCCCCAGCATAGCAGCCACATTTTGGGCATGAGCTGAAACAAAAAACTTGTCTGGGAAATGGTAGCAATAAGGTGGTTTGCAGGCTAATCTTGACTATCCAACACCCTCCTCCCCGAGGAGATTGCTGTAAGAAAAACTATTCTACATGTTGCTGTCCATACTGAGAAAGCGTGAGCTAGATGAAGTCGAGGAAGGAAGAACATATACAGCACTATCTGTAGATTTTAAGGGAAAGAGACTGTTCTGAAGAGTGAATTCTTGTGCAAGTCCTTAAGAGCTGGCTTATTAATCAATGAGCTACCCCTTGTGTATCAGAGGATTAATATGTAGAGGGTGCCGACACCCAAGTACACATTACTTGCCTGAAGAAAGTCCAATATATCTATCATGGCAAGGTTAAGAGAGACAAAACCCATTAAGCTGGGGAAGTCTACAAAATCATTCCACACTGTAGAATATATGATGTTTAGTAGGTGCTCTAGTATTCAACAAACACTTATTGACTGGAGATGAGTAATCCAGGCAAGGCAGACACTACTTCCAACCTCCAAGTCGCTTAAGGCAGTGTTTTTCAACCTTTTTTGTGCAAAGGCACACTTTTTTCATGAAAAAAATCACGAGGCACACCAACATTAGAAAATGTTACAAAAATTTACCTCTGTGAAAAAACGCTGGCTTAAGGTATTTCTGGATGTAGCATCCACTGTAGAAGCTCTGAATATAAAGGATGACTAGAAGGGTCAGAGTCTACAAGAGAGGGAACCCTACCCGGATAATTGTGGGTACCATCTAGGAATCTGAATCCATTTGGACTGAAGGAAGCGTATATCCATTGCTCTCTCCCTTAGAACCTTTTCTTGACAAGGAGTGTCTGTACTCTTAGGGATTACCATCAGGATGAGATCTGGATAACCCACTTGCTGCTGATCCACAGGAAACTTCTGGATAAGAAAACATTAATTGTCGTCCAGGGCTTCTTGGCTTACAGTATCAGCCAGGAAATTCTGAGAGCCCAGTGATTCGCACCGAGGAATCCTTTATTAACACGATCCCTGGATAGGGACATAGATAACAGTTGAAACAGGCTCGCCGGCTGTAGCCACAACCTAGAATCTCATATTTGGAATCATCCAGAACCAATGGCACAGGGAATGTTTTCTCTGTTGTCTGAAGAACCCTGATGGAAGACTTTTAGCCTCCAACACCATTTGAATTGATCCCTCAACTGGAGACACCAAGGAGTTGTCCCGTCAACTGGAGACACCAAGGAGTTGTCCCGTCAACTGGAGACACCAAGGAGTTGTCCCGTCAACTGGAGACACCAAGGAGTTGTCCCGTCAACTGAAGACACCAAGGAGTTGTCCCGTCAACTGGAGGCACCAAGGGGTAGGATAGAGGCATTCCCCCTTCGCGATCGCTTTTAACTTGATCAGAGCCTAACTTAAGATGGTTCCATGGACTGCTAGAGTATGAGCATGCTGAACAACCAGCAGGATGACGCTTCA